TTTTTCACTAAATGGAGACGATAATGCTTGGTTAGACCCTCAATCAGTGAGAAATTTTCTTTACAAGACTTAGACATTAGTAGTTTTAGTAGTTTTTTTTAGTAATCTTCGTCCGTAGCAGAATGATGGGTTCCTGTTCAAAGAGTTGGGGGTTGCAGGGGTCCAGGAGTTTCCGCGGCGTCGTCGTTTTGTGTTCGAAAGCGCCCTCGCGGCGTGCAAAAAGTTCTAGACTGTAGTTGATCGAAAGGTCAGGTCCCAAATGAATTCGCGTGATGCGTTGCGCATGTGCTGTGGATGGTGCAGATGCGATGTCATGTGGCGTGACGGGTTGCATTTAATGAATTTGCAGCTGTAGCTTTCGTATCCATGCGGAGCGTGGCGGGCCGCAAACGAACAAACGGGCGAAGTGCGAGCGAAGGCGACTGAAAAATGAGAAGCCCGTATAGTGATGTGGGGGAATCAGAGACAGGTAGGGGAAACATAAAGGGGAGACAGCGACAGAGAGAGAGAGAGAGAGAGAGCGAGGGAGTGAGGGAGGGAGGGAGTGAGGGAGTGAGAGATGAAAAGAGAGAGGCTTCCTCACTATGACACAGCGAATCAAAAACGACTGACAGATCTTTGTGCGCGGGGTAGAGAGGCCTTCCAGTAGTACAAATTCTTGTTCGCGGAAAGAGGCGTCGGCAGCATGGCATGTTAATTCCGAAAAGCCCATGTAAAAAAACAAACAACTGAACAAACGCTTCAAATCTTGAACGACTGTCCCTGCAATAAGTGGCTGTACAATAAGGATATGCCCCGCTACGATTTCTGACGTAACCAACAACCTATGTGTTCGCCTAGGCCTCCGGCTGAGCGGCATCTGGAAAACCTACCAATAGAAATCTTTGCCACTCCCTGTGGGACCCGAACTGCTTGGTGTGACGACTCTCCCGAAAAAGTTGGGAACAAAGGAACGTGGAAGCCCCCAAGACCTCCCCGAGACTGATGTCCCACCGTAGCCCCGCCTGCACCAGGCGACACGACATCTGATTTCAATGGGCCGCGACAACTTGCCAACCGAATGTGCAGCACTTCGTTATCTCTGTGTGTGTTTGTGCAATGACACACTCAATGGTCACAAATCTTTCCAAGCTACTGCGCGGCCGTTTCTTAAGAGCCGCTCCGCTCCTTCCATGAGTCCCCAGCGTGTGGCAACACATGGCTGCATATCTGTATGAAGTCTTTTGGCGTAGAGTGGGGTCTGAACTGAGCACAGCTAACCTCGCAGCCACTTACGCCCTGTCTCGCAGTCTTAGGCATCAGCAACAGGTGTTGCGAGCAAAGCTGCGCAGCCACAGAGACTGTGGATCATAAGGGGATCGTTTTCCATCTTTACCGGCGCTGCGCAGGCCACCCCGGCATTGGGCCGCCGGGCTGTGGAGGCAGCGCGCACAAGCATTCACATTTAGAACGAATACGGTGGTGTTTTGTAAAGTTTTTGTAAATGTATAAAGATTTAGGGAAGTCGTTTCATATCAAAGGGGTTCTAATGAGAACAAGAAGGTAATCAGACTTGCAACATGGGAATGAAAACCAAGGAGGCGACGATGGGGAGGATTTGGGAAGGATGGAACGAAAGATAAATAGGGCGAGAAGACTCATGAAACGCGGACGAAGTGAAGATAATGAGGATTAATGAGGATGAAAGAGGGAGGACATGGGGAAGGAACGCAGCTCTCGCCTCCTCGGTCTCGTCCTCGCTCACCGCAAACTCCTCCCAATTGTAATTGTTTTTCCTGTTTTCCCGCACGACAAGAGAGCATTCTGGCACTGATTCTACAGATTCTACACCTGGGGCAGCTCCTTCATGATTGTTACAGTGGCCTCGGAGCTTGCGAACTGCGGAGAGCAACCTCTGCAAGGCCCTGTGCGTTTACGATCAGCCCTCAGCAGCCCGCAATGAAATCACACGGCTGCAGCCTGACAGGTTCCATGGACCAGCCCCTAAAGGCCCCCCAAAAGGCGATCATCTGACTTCACTGATTTAAGATGCATCTGCCCTCTCCGTCCACTGGAGTCTCGCTCTACAACTTCAGGTCTGCATGTCGGTCTGCATCTCGGTGTCTCTGCGGCCGCCAAAACTCAATTCTGGGGGCTCTCTGCTCTGCGCCGAGCTCTTGCGCCGCCTGGACCCATCTGCCTTCCTCGGCGGCGCGCCTCTCGTCTTCGAAAATGGCACGGAGAGTTAGGACAGGAGCTCTAGCTGAAGAATACCTGGAAGAATGAGAAGGTGAGGGAGGAGAGGAAGAAGAAAAAAGAGAGAGAGATAGCGAAAATAAAAAAGAGAGAGGAGATAAGGGATAGAGGGAGAAAGAGCGGAAAGAGAGCCAAGAGCGCGCACTCTCTCTGTGTTGTTTTGGGTGGGGGGGGGAGCGGGGGGAGGGGCGGGAGGGGTAAGGGAATGCGAGGCCATGCACGCGCGCCTCGGCGCCAGAAGCCGTCCTGGTGGCCGCCTCCTTGGGAGGGGCCTCCTTGGGAGGGGCCGCCTTGCAAAGGGCCGCCGCCTTCTGGGGCGGCTCCGCCTTCGTCTCCTCCGTCATCTCCGGCCTCCTTGGGGCCCAACTCGGAAACACAAAAGAAACACACTTCGAGAACAGATCATACGTGTGACCAGTGGGACATGTGCCTTGTGCCATCTCTCTCGCTCTCTTCTTCTTCTGCTGGGCATGAGGGGACCCGGGGCCCCCCCGCGCACCAAGGCGCGCCCGAGTGCGAGATCCAGGTGAGATGCTGATTGGGTTACCGGTTTGGTTTCCCCTTGGTTTGTGAAACTTTCGGGTCTGATTTGGGTCGTCATGTCTTATTTACACTAGAACAGTAAGGCTCTCGCTCTCTCTCTCTCTCTCTCTCTCTTTCTCTCTCTCTCTTTCTCTCTCTCTCTCTTTCTCTCTCTCTCTTTCTCTCTCTCTCTCTCTCTCTCTCTCTCTCTCTCTTTGAAGCTGGGGAGACTCCCTCCCAATGTCTTTCAAGCTCTCTCTCTCTCTCTCTCTCTCCCTCCCTCCCTCCCAACCACCAAAACGAACAGAAGCGCGCAGTTGCCTGGGCAGCCGGGGCAGGGACAGCGCTGAAGGCTCCTCTGCGTGAACGGGAAAGACTGCGCGCTTGCAGTTTCTGTCGCATCCCGCTCTGCTTAGAAGGGAAAAAGAAACGGAATCTCTTTGTGTGTTTGTAGAATATGTTCTCTGACTCTTTAGGGACAGAGTTTCAAGAAAAGAGAGAGAGAGGAGAGAACTCTCCCGTGCTATCCATATTTCTCTCCTCTTTGCTTCCCTCTGTGTTGTGTGTTTTAGTTAGTTGCTTAACTTCCCCTCTCCCTTCTTTGACTGTCCCGCAGCTAGGTGTGCACAGCGTGTGCGCAGCCCAGCCCATTCTGTGACATGGAGGATTGTTGCCCAGGACGAGAAAGCATCCGAAAGCAAGTATGCGTTGTAGATTTCAGTAGACTTGCGAAACCCACTTTAGTTCTGCTTACAAAAATTTTGCTACAGCTTGCAGCGATGGCCTGGCGTGCCTTTGTCGGACACTGTGGTAGGGATCCAGCCACGCGTCGGACCACGGAATACTTCCACAGCACCTTGGGGCGACTTCTCTTGCCACGGCATAGTACTGGAACTGGTGCAAGGCACGTCAAATTCTTTTGGTGGACTCGAAGTGAAGAAGAAGCATGAACAAAGACACCGGGAGACCACACGCAAACCCGGACATGTTCCAGACGCTTCGGCTTTACAAAAGTGATGCACAGGCCGACACAGATTTGTGTGCGCACTGCCAATCCCAAACATCCGAGCTGCTTCCCTTGAGGAAGCGTCGGCGAATGAAGGATGCCTGAGAATTCTGATTTCCATGCTGCGCAGCAATTCTGCAGCGACTTCCACGAACTTCTGCGAACTTCTGCTGCGCCTGTGCAATGGCCAGTGCTTCTTGACCGAAGATGCGCACCTGACATTGCGATGGCACAACACTTTCTTAGTGGTGTGTGCATCTATTTGGCCTTGTAGTGGCGGAGAAGCGACGTGGTGGCCTCCCGATGTGTAGGCACTGCAACAACAGGGTTGAGAGTCTTTTGTTTTGGCGTTTGTTTTGACGTTGGTTGTTTCCTTCCCAAACAGTCAATCCAGCGTCTAAGTCTCCGAAACACTCACGATCGCTTTGGCTTTATCTGCGCAATGAAAAGGAATTGCCGAGTGATCGCCACTGCTTTGGAGCGACGCAGACGCTCAGAGAGCAGAGAGCCGGAGAGAGCGGCAGAGCTCAAGAGCTGACCCAAGCAACGAAGATAGTCCCGCAGGCCCTTGGCGGAAGAAGGCCTCGTTGTTCTGCAGAGATCGAAGGGTGCAAACCAACATGTAAAAACAGTGCCCGCCCCACCTGTGGTGGAGGGATGGAACCTCTGCGTTCCGCGACTTGAAGAGCTTGACTGGCGCCGACAAAGAGACCCGCCCAAAAAGGGCGGCACACCATTCGATAATGACAAGTGGATGCAGACAGACATGAATGGAGACAAGCCTTTGAACGGGAATTCCATGGGGACGTCAAGGAGGACACGCTGAACACCCTGGTGAAGGTTCTACCGACGAGCGAAGGGAGGGTCCCACAAGACGCTCTTTGCCGAGTGGGATGGTCGTTCTCTTGGGAAGGCTCCTCAACTACGCTTTGGGCAAGCTGACGGCGACAACCTGAGGAATCCGGGTTCACGAAGCCGACCCAAGGGACATGCGAAGATGCCACCATGCAGGTCGAGGAGATGGAGAACAAGGTCTACCAGATGGTACCGAGACCTTCGACGAGAACGAGGCGAGTGAGATCTTGGCGGCCATGATGAAAGGGCAGACCAACCCGAACAAAGTCGCAAGGCCCACAAGCAAAAGCCACAACCAAGACGGACCTGAATCCCAGGAAGAACCCAAAAGGGTACGGAGTATATCGGAGTATCATGATTTTTTGCTTAGCAGTAGGATCGACCGGGCCGAGCTGCTAAACAGCCTTCCGAAAGTCGGAAGAAGGTGCCACAAAATGCCGCAAAATGCCACAAAATGCCACAAAATCAAAAGCACTGCGGCGGATCTCTCCTCCTGCCGAAACCACATGACCGAATTGCACGGAATGCAGCGTAGTGCGCTTGTTGCAAAAAGGACCGTATCCATGGGCTCGATGGCGTCGGTCTCTAAATTTCTTTTGTGGCCTGCCTCGTGCTGTTCGTGGTGGTATTGAACTGTTTTGATGTACAGAAAACACTGCGCCAAGTTACGAATGGTTGTGAAAAATACGGGCTCCACACTGTGCTGTCTGGTAACGAGTCTTGCTTCTCCGACCTGCGCTTTATCCGTGTGCCTTGCTCAGCCTGATGTGCTACACAGGTCCGACGTCTCACTACATTCTGCCTGCTGGTTGCAACCTGTCTCCCTGTTTGCAACGCAACCTACCTCTTTAAGGAGAGCGCAGATGCTGTAGTTGTCCAATCGTATTCCGGTGCACGGCTTGCTGGAGCAGCGGTAGTGGAGCGGCAGCATTCTTGCCGTCAGCGGAAGCCAACTGATGTATCTTCAACTACTTCGGCTGGGATCCTTGCGATCCACGGTGAGTGCGGCAGACTCCTGAAACTTCTCTGACAAGCTTCCGCATGGAGTCACCATATTCAGCAAAGACGTTCTACTTGCCGGTTTGAACACGGAAGTGGCGCCATTGCACTTGCACCGTCAAAAACCCACACGCATAACGGGACTTCGTCGCGCGACATCTCTTCGCAGAGGCCGCCTGGAACTACTCCCTACTCGCCCTTGCGTCGCTCTAATGTCTGGTCATGTCTCGATGAAAGGCATTGCGTAGAAGGATCTCTTACTCACTTCAAGCACACACCAAGATGAGCGACTTCACAGCGGAGCGGAGTGGAGTGGAGCGAAGTGGAGAATTGGCCGAAAAAAGGCGACACCCTCCGGCCGAAGCTTAAGGCGCTTGCCCGCAGGAACAACACCAACATACACCAACAAACACAACGGGCAGCAACCACGACGACGATCACGGTACCCTGCTTCCCCCTCTCCAATAAAGAAGAAAGAAAGTATGTAAGCTGCGGTACAGCCAAACCGCCAGGTCCTTCACCCTGACCGAGCATGAGCGAGCCATCAGGCACGTGGCCAAAGAAAGGACAGGAAGTGCCCGGCACGCAGCTCCGCAGCCATGATTTGTGCCCGGCGACCGCGATCTCGGAGGTAAACCGTTGGAGCCGAAAGTGTGTGATGCAGCATGAGCAGCATGAGCAGCATGAGCAGCATGAGCAGCATGCTTCATTTAGTTTATCGAGAGCGCGCTGCCTCGAGGCCATCGATCTCTGCGGCAAGCCACTCTTGACTCCTCGACCTGAGAGAAGGAGCAAATACGACGAAATAACACGTATCTTGTCTGGCATGATGCTGTGTGGGGTCTCAGGGGAAGAACCCACGGAGCCAAGCTTGAGATTGCGTTTTCGGGCCGCCCGGCCACAGCTCGACGGGCTCACCAGCTTGCAGGGGCCTCTGTCTATTGCGTCTACTTCAGTCTAGTTCTCATTGTCTTCGTAGCCGTGCAAAAGTTTTCAAATCATCAAGTTGTTGCCAATCAAAGCCCTGAAAAGTCCCCCACGCCCGCAACAGCTCCAGGGGAACATGCGACCGCTCTTGGACCTGCGCCCATGCCAGCTGCGCAGCATCGCAGCGAACGATGTCACGACGTCAGGAAGCTTCCAAGGCACCGAGCGCCCCTTGAGAGTCACAGAGTAGGACACCTTCCTGAGGGGTGCCGAGGAGCCGATTCAAGTCGAAGGCAACAGCTTAAGTTTACAAATGATGTGACAGCACTGGCAGCACGGAGGATGACAAACCAACCCATTTTCCGACTCGCTGTCGTGGCGTTGCGCGGCGCTCCACCTACCCTAGCGTTTGCCAAGGTCTGCATGAGTGGCACGCCATGGGCACGCTGGCTGGAAGCACAAGGTCACCTGGCAGGCAAAAACCCAAAGAACAGGCTGCCTTGCTGCGGACGAGGACACCTCGGATCATTCTGGTCGTGCCCATCGCGAGGTTCACGAGGAGCGACCAATGGGCAAAGTCTCCTGGGGTCCAAATTCTTTACTGACAGCAAGAGACATTCGCCTCGGCCGCCTCGCCCTCTGCATGCCTCTGCATGCCTCTGCATGCCTCTGCCGAAGGCGTCTACAAGCCGATCAAAGCTTCCCCTCTCCCAAACATTTCTGCTGAACCCCGCTTATGCTAGGACCCCCAAGCTTCTCACATTTGGAAACAAGCAAACACACAGGGGGGGGAAGCCAATGGGTTGGGGGGGCCGGAGCTGTCTCCTTCCAAGAGAAAACCATAGAAAACCTAATGCATCACTCACTCATCAGACGTAACCTCCACTCTCAAAGGGTCATTTAGATCGCCTCGCAGCTTCTGTTTGAAACTTCCGCAAACCAAGTGGCAGAAGCATTGTCTGCACATGGTGCCGAACCTTTTCACATGGATTCGTTGACAAAGAGAATCTTGAAAGTGCCTTCGCTTTGTCACACCGTGGCTGGCACCTCTGGAGACGGCACGGTGACCAGGCGGCAAAGCATCGGGAAAATCTGCGGCAAGTACCTCTGTCGGAAGACAAGTCACTCAGACTATAGCCACTTCAGCCTGCGCTAGCCTGCCAATCACTGCGTCCTGTCCTGAGAAGTGTCTGTGTGGGCAGCTTTTCGAGATCGGGCAAGATGGACTCAGCCACTGCCTGAGATATGAGAGTGTGAAGATGTAGAGGTGCACAAAACGGTGAGCACAACGGAGAAGGGAAGAGTAGAGAGGAAGTTCGTGCGAGCACAAAACGCAGTAAAGCGCGAGATGCGGCCAAGGCTCCGTAGCTAGGGGCTTCGAGTCACCTCGAGAATCGAAGCGACAGAAATTGTGGCAAACTTTCGAAGCTTCGGCGAGAAGTCTCAACACATCAAAGAGATGGCCTCGCGAATGCAACACCCGCGCAGTGGCAAAAAAAACGCAGAAGAAAAGACCAAAAAAGGAGGGGAAAGAGGACGAAGTTCGCGAAAAGGGAGCGAGGAGAGCCCTCTTCTTATCGAGAGCAGCTTCTCAAGTTCGAGCGAGAAGATGCAGAGAATGCACCTTGGAGCTGCGTGTGGAGCTGCGCGGTCACCTTCTCGCACACGGGCTCCACGACCTCCTCCATGACCTGCTCTGCAAGATCTTCTCAGCTCTTTGAAAGGAACGTGCACACAAAGTGCACAAAGTGCACAAAGTGCACACAAGAGAATCAAACAAAGACTCAAAAACTGGGAGAGAGAGAGAGAGAGAGAATCGGCCTTGGACCACGTGGCTGCATCGAAGCTCCGGCTGCCCACGTCCCGCAGGCACTGGAACGCCTCAGAAGAAAATACGTGCCACAACGCGCACCCAAATAAAAAAAAAAGTAGATGTATGTATGCATGCATGCATGTACGTATGTCTATAATAAAATGTTTGAGAATTGGCGATTCTCTCTCCCTTTTTAGACTGCGATGCCAAAGGATTTGCTCAAGGGCCCTAACAGCGACAGAGAACCAATATCACTATACACGAGCAACCTGGCACAAAACACTCTCATACAAGCATGAGTTCACACTCAACCTGGTCTCAGGTGCGAGTGCCTTGTTGCTACTCTCGGACTATGTACTGTGCAGTTCCGATTTGCTGTTTCTACTGTCAGGGCCACACCGGCTACAATCTCCTGGCTGCGGTAGACTGTGCCTTGTGTTTCACGCGGAGTATGCTTGCGCAAGTGGAAACTGCAGAGCAAGTAGCGCAGTTCCTACGTCAGCTTTTGTCGATTCACCCTGTATTTTCCTGTCGCAATGATTCGGATCAGGAAATCAGGTTCATTGATTTTGTAAGGCAATCGGCTGCCTGAGTGGCTGTATCTATCCAGTCCACTCGATCTCCACCTTTGTGGCAGACCTCCACGGTTCTCCTTCCGTCATCTATAAAAACCGATTGACGGAGCGCAGACAGTTCGATCTGCAATCGCTTGTCTTGCACGCCAGCTGGCTGCTCTGCATTCAAGCGTGCTACAAGACTCTTGCAGTCACTCAAAATAACATGCATCACCGTGGAACCAGCAGCTGTCTCCCAGTCTGCTCCATGTACTGGATATCCGCGAAGCTCGGCAAGCGCGGCGCGGATTCTGTCTCCAGCTTCCTGTGCATTTGCAACGCATATGTCTCTGCCTGTAGGGTTGCTCTGCATACCCTCTTGATGGTTGTACATGCGAATGCAATCACGAACACATCGTACTGCTAACTCTAGAACCTTATTCGCATCATGTAGCGCTGCAACAGTTGCTCCCTTAATGCTGCCTTGGAGCTTCGACACGCGATACAGAATATCGGGTCTTGCTTGTCTCGCAGTCCATGACAAGCTACCAACAACTGAACGGAGCTGACGTTCTTCACCCTTGGTTAGGAGGTCTGATGCCTTCCTATTCGGGGCTATGTCGATATACTTAATTTTCTGCGTATTATCGACAACGTCAATGAGCACATCGTGGCCTGATGCGTCAAACTGTTTTCCACAGAAACGCAAACGGTTCCTTCCAACTCGAATTTTGACAATAGGCGGTCTATCACGGATCCACCCTCGTCAACAGACGTTCATAGGAAATCGTCGACATGCGTCGTGAGTACGCAATCGACTCCGGGTAAGCGTAGGGCCTCCGCCTCAGTGATGGTTTAGGAGATCTCGCGCCCAGCCTACCTCTTCTGGCTGCAGGGCGCACGCTGCCGGACTGCGACCTCCTCGATGAGCACAAGAGGTCGCGGCCTACTCGATGACCTTGGCGCTGTGGCCTGCGCGCCACGCGGCCCAGCCTTGATAGCTCTCTCCCGCCACTCGCTCAGCGTCCTTCGAATTGCGGCTGACGGCTCTGCCCACACAGGTCCTGCAGTTCGCCTCCGCAGGCCTGCTCGTCCCTGGTGTAGCGGGCCTCGATCTCGGCTGTCGTGCTCCTGCACCGGTATCGACAAAGGGTGGCCTTGAGTGCCTTGCGGGTCTGAGTTCGGAATCCGCAGTGGATGAGATCATGGGCCACACCCATGCTATATGGCCGAAAAAGCTTGGTCCCTACAGCCACCGAGCGGCGCCGGTTACTGTTACAGTGTACCAACACGACCAACTTCCAACTCCTCTGCCGGCCACGGTCCAGAGTCACACAGATCTCTGTCAACAGGCGCCTTCCGGCTGCCTGCTGCCTGATCCAGGATACCATCAATGATGGCCTGACGCCTACAAGTCAACTCCCGAACGTCGAACAACTTCCATCATATGTAGTCCTGGGAGATGCTGGTCGGGGTTGTTGGCCTTCGCCCCTGCTTCTTACCCATGGGCCCTTCCGGGTCCCATTTCCCCCGCCGACGGCTATCGGCACCCTCACTTGACACGTAGGGTACTAAGGGGTTGCAAATCCTGAAGGCTCCTAAGCCTGTAAAGGACTTAGTGCTTTGGTCTATGAAGGGGAAACATAAACCGAAAGTCTTGAGCTTCTCTTCAACCATCCCGCACCTACAACATTCTTAGGGAATATGTTGGGGCTTGGGTCCTCTGGCGGGGTACCCCCTCATGGTGAATCATCCCTGGGCAAGCGCTCTCGGGTCAAACCAACAAGTCCAGGCCGTATTAGGGTCCTAATGTCTTGCGGATCCCTTAACGCATCCCCTAACTTCCCAACCGCGCTGCTTGCCCTTCCCGGAACCCGGTCTGACTTCAAAAGGTCTCCATGAACCGTGTCCGAGACGACCTTTGCTGGAGGAGCCGAGCGGGGCTTCTCCCTCGCTCCTGCGCGGCTGTCACAACCATTGCGTAGTCCCAAGCGCTTCCTGGGGAAATGGGCTCCCCAGGTCCTCCATCACGGCGGTGATGGACTCACGCGAAACTTCATGCAACGAAGCGACGCTCACAACAGGCTCACCTGCGCTGACGAGACGAGGAACCTCAACGGCCTCCTGGGTTAAGAGTCGCAGTAGCGTCGTCTGCCATGAGTGCTGACGCGGCGCTTACTGCATCCGCACTTGCGGCCAGCATCTGCTGCGCTGCGGCCTTCCGCTCCTTGTGGAATTCTTGCGGAACTTCACCAACGAATGTTCCACACTGCAGGCAGAAGGTCTGAGAGGTGCTCTTCGTGCTACCTCGCCGGTCTACGACCTTGTGCTCACACGTCTCAGGGGTATTCGCGCTGCTCGCGGCTTGCGTGGCCACATAATTACCCTGCATGTCTTGCGCACGTAGTCGGCTGCGCTTCCCTGATCGGAAAACTCACGACAACCAGCGGCGCACGCGGTTTGCCAACGGTGGGTTTGGCGGCTTCTTCGCTCCACCTTTGGCCTTGGGTCGCGGCACATAGGTTCCCTCAGGAATACCTAGCGACGCGTTCCTCAACGTGTCCGGCTTGGATCACGTAGTAGCAGTCAAACCACGCGAGGAAATCCCTAAGCTGCAACGGCGGATCAGGCTGCGCCTTTGCCCACGTGACAAAACAGGGATACGGGCTACCTGGTCCTCTTCAGGGCACCCGTCGTCCGGCGCATCATTGTCATGCTCCTCGTCCCCCATAGGCAGGGTACGAGGACAGTGTCTCCTTCGAGCTCTTCTTCCTCATAGATGCCTGCGTCTTCATCGATCGCAGGGCAGGCTCGGCGTGTAAAACCCTTATACCTTTACCCTTATTCGACCTTTAGTAAGAACCCTTACCATAACCTGTGGTCGGGCGACCG